CTCCCTACCCCACACACACACCTAAAAAAACAGCCAAAGCGCCCAACTTGTTCCCCTTGGATGACTTAATTTCACTCACTCGAGAGAAAGTGCACAGTTTCCAGAAACCTTCTAGATCCAGCCCAATCCTCGCTGGAGCAACCGCCAAAAACCCGCCATGACCCGAGTCAGTCAGCAGACAAACTCACGAACACAAGGACAAACAAGCAATGGCGACGGTGGCCTCACTCACTCATAGCTGCTCACGGCTGGCCGGAGAAGGAAATATAATACCCTTATCATGGTCCTCGGGTTTTTTTGCTCACGAGCACACACGTGTAAATCGCTCGCTCAGACCACAGAGTCACGATAGCGATCTGCGCTTGCCACCCAATCTGACCCCTCCCTTGATATCGTCTGCGGCGAAGCGAGCTGCTAGAAAAGCAATAACGGGGAAAAAATAAAACACATCCCAGATTATTCCGCGAAGTTAGGCCCGGCTGAACTTGGGATTTTTGTACGTTTTTCTGAAATGTGAAGTGACGGGGAAGAGAGGAAGGAGTGTGTGTGTGTGTGTGTGTGTGTGTGTGTGTGTGTGTGTGTGTGAGAGAGAGAGAGAGAGAGGGAGAGAGAGAGAGGGAGAGAGAGAGAACCGAGCGTGTCACCCGACCAAGTCCCAAAGAGGCCTTTGGGGAGTCCGCGGCGAACGTTCTATGAAATACTCGGAACAGTTCCCTAATGTTGCTTTGACTGCGCTCGCTTCCTGACCCGTCTACCAGTTCTACTGCGAGTAGTAAAACTCTGCTTTTTGCTCCTCCCCCCTTTTTTTTTCTTTCTTCTTTGGTCTCGATGTACGAGTACATGTACTGATAATGATAATACTTTCTGGGGAAATACTGCTGTTCTCGAGTTAGTATTTATCATTGTTACCCGTGATACAGCAACCTCGCTGGTGTCTGCGGTACAGCAGTTAGGCATTTCGCCGTCGCACGCCGAAGACCCGATTTCTTTTCCCAAACGAGGAGAATTTTTATGGAGTATGTCGATCTTTCTGCTAGGATATTGCATCCTTAATTTTCAGTTCAGTTTGGCCCTGGCAGGCAAAATGGAGGCCCGCCTCCTAAATCATAAAAAATTGTATTGATGGAGCGTAAAAACATTCATTTTTCTGGAGATTAAAAGAACTCTATATTGTTAGGATATTACTTGTGTCGGTGTGCTTCTCTTAACTGGGCCCTAATCTTATTAATTATTTTAAAATTAGGTTACCGGACTCGTAATCGTGAGGTTGCGGGTTCGGGGGTTCGAGCCGTGGGCCCGACGTTGTGTCCTTGGGAAAGGCGTTTACTCGAATTTTCCTCACTTCACCCAGGTGGGAATGAGTACCCCGCTACGGACAGTGAAAGATCTTGTCCGTATGTTAGTGTTTTAGCGCTTATAAATGGCCGCTTGCACTGTATGCTTCCCAGGAAGTTCAGGTTGTTTCAGAATGCTCTCAGGTCTGCGGGAGTAATAGTCTAGATTGTAAAGAGCATAGAGCTTGCTGTTGGGCGGTGATATGCGCAGTACAAATGCTATCTATCTATCTATCTATCTATCTATCTATCTATCTATCTATCTATCTATCTA